GGGAATCGACGGTTAATTGTGTCTGTGTGTTTTTTCCCCTTCCTGAGTTTTGGGGAGCGGCCCGGAGACCAGAGCCCCTCCTGATCCCAGCGTGGCCCCGAACCCCCAAAAAGAGTGGCTGCAGCCCAGGCGCCGCAGCGCCGAGGGGCCGCGGCGGGGGGGTCCGCGGGCGAAGCGGAGGCCCGGAGAGGGGGCGGGGCTGGGACCCCGCCCTGCGACAGCCCACGGCCCTCGACTCCAGGAGCCTCAAGTGCTGTTGGCCTCGATGTCGCCGAGGGACCGCGGCGGGGTCTGCGGGCGAAGCGGAGGCCGGAGAGGGGGCAGGGCTGGGATGCCGCCCTTCGACAGCCCACAGCCCTCGACTCCAGGAGCCTCAAATGCTGTTGGCCTCGATGTCGCTCGCTTTCGCCCCCTTCCGTGCCGCCCCCTTCCATGTCCCAACAGGCAGCAACGCGGCCTGGACCAGCGCGACTCGGAAGCCCCACGACGACCGTCACAGGCTTGGCGCCAACGAGTACTTCGCACGCAAGGATGCCAACCATACCGCCAAGAGCATCAAATATATGAGGTAAGTGCTTGACGCGCTTTGGGGGATGACTCTGCCGAGGGTCGCAGCTCGGGCCCGGCAGCGCCGCTGGGTCGATGCGGGGCCGCGGCCGGAGCCTGGAACCGAAAAAGGGGGGCAGGGCTGGCACCCCGCCCTCCGGAGACCCAGCCTCGGGCCCAGCAGCGCCGCGGGGTCGCGGCGGGGTGGCGGGAGGAACAGGGCGCGGAAAACGGGGCAGGGCCGAGGTCTCGCCCCGCGAGGGCCCAGCTCGGGCCCCGCAGCGCCGATGCCTCGCAGCGGGGCGGCGGGCGAAGCTGGGGTCTGAATGGGGGCGGGGGCAGCGCGGGGCCCACGGGTGCGCCAGGAACCCGACAGCCTGCGCGGGGCGACGTCCAAACTGGTTGCGCGTCTCGCGGAGCGGCAGGGTACGAAGGCTGGGGGGACCCCCCGCGCGAGACGGAACGCTTCCGACTTCACCGACGGATGCATACGCAGATGCCGAGGGAGGAAGGAGGAGGAGGAGGAGGAGGAGGACGAGGAGGAGGAGGAGGAGGAGGAGGAGGAGGAGGAGGAGGAGGAGAAGTGCACTGGCAGAGAAGAGGAAGGCGGGCGCTCAAGAGCACGAAACGCGAAGAGAAGAGACGAAGTGTCAGTGTCAACGACCGAGCTCGGCGAGCGGCGGCATCCTCCTCCAGACCTGGCAAAGGCGAGCCTTGAGCGCACGGCGAAGCCTGTCTACGCCTGTGACTATGGAGGAGCTCTTGAACGTATGATAGCTGACGCATGCAGCAACATTTTTTAAGAAAAAAAGAAACACGCTGTGCACATTGGAGAGGAAACGTTCGGGAAAACAGCAGCACAGGCAGGACCACCGAGGGAGACAGCAGGAAGGAAACGAGGGAGGAGAGGCGTGATGGCGGCAACTAAGACCTCACATTCCAGCATGTGAGCGAGCGAATCAGGGGCGTCTTTGCGCTGGCAGAAGCAACGCGCTTGGGGGGGGGGGGGGGGGGGGGGGCGAAACCTTTTGGTTATGGTCCGAGCATTACACATGGTGCGAAGGATAGGGGACATGACACACGGCGGGACTTTACCCGCGATCGACTGCAAAACGCGAAATAAAAGATCACGCTGGGGAGGAGGCATGGGAAGCCAGTGGCGGGCACGCGCCTGAACGGTGGGCCACTGGGAGGCACCAGCGCACTCGAGCAGCCTGTATTCAGTTGTGCTCTGGAATTGGATACGCCGAGTGCAGGCATTCGGGGAGTCTGGCTGAGAGCGGCATAGTTCTCCCAGAGCGACCTAAAACTAGAGTTACGATACAAGGGGCGGCTCTCCCAGGCAATAACACAATCGTCGGAAATACTATACTGACTAAAAAGGTCACACATGACATGGAACGCTTTGGAGTAAGTTGCGAGCCGAAGCGTGGAGGCACGAGCAACAGGGTATAAATTTCTGGCCTGGGAAGGGAAGCCGACAGATTTGAGACAACAGAGCAGGGGCTTACAGCAAGCATTGCGCGGGGCCTCAGAAAGCATTTGTAACGCTCTACTCTCGATCATCAGAGACTCGGAGTCGGGGAGGTGGAATTGCGCGACCTAGGCGAGGGTGCTGAAGTCTAACGCGTGATACCGTGCGATGCCCTTAGTGAGGCCTATGTGCAGGGATTTCGCGCGATCAACTCGATCCATACATTTACTGCGTGGGGCCTGCCACGACTTGCGCCAGCCGTTGAGACCTATCCAGAGGCCTAGGTATTTGCCGGTGTCGGTGAGGATGAACTTTTGGCCACGAATACTGAGTGCACGCAGACGAGCGAGGGGCGCGGCGCGGTCGGGCAACTTGGGCATGACAATTCGCACGCCTTCAATCTTGAGAACAAGGCTGGCAGCACTGGCGGCGATGCACCAGACAGGAAAGGTAATAGCAAGAGTACGAGTATATACAAACACCAGCAATACCCACATCATCAGCAAACGCCCCAAGGCGAGAGTGATCAGGAGGGAGACGATCGAGCATCATACTGAAGGAAGGGGCCCAGGCAGAGGGCGAAGAGGGAACCAGAGAGAGGGCAGCATTGCTTGATTCCTCGGGCGGCCCAGCACCCAAAGGACGTAAAGCCATTGCACGATACACCTATCCAGGTAGAGGAATACAACAACTTGCTGAGCGAAACCTTGGAGGGACACCCATAATATCTATATTCCACTGAATAAATTCGCGCAGGAGACTGGGGAAAGCAGCTTTCACGTCGTACAGGACGCAACTGCGATCGGCCAGGTGCTGCTGGCAGAGGTAGTGGCAGAGACTAGCTTCTAGGCCAATCGAGTTCTCGAACATTAAGCGACGGCGAAAGCACCCGGTCTGATTGTTGCAATAAACCACTTGACACACGTACCCCAAAAAAGGATTTAACGCAATACAGAGCAGTTTGTTGCAGGAGTCGGATCGAGTGAAAGGCCTAGTCTTGTCAACAGGGCGGTATGCCTCGAACGCGCCGGGCGGCACTTCGCCCTTGACCAGGAAGACCACATGCGCAAAGTTGAAACCGTCGCCGACGCAGAGGCTGGCGAACAGGGCAGAGTACACAAGGAAGAAGGAACACTGAGCAGCGTCGCCTGACCGCAACCATGGAGCGTATGCCGGCCCATCAAGGCCAGGAGAAGAATCTCTGACTTTCGCGAAGACGGTCTTGAATTCGTCGAGCCCGATTTCCCATTCGGGGACAGGCGGGGCTGGGTGCGCAAACGGCCGAATCTTGTCTAACTGGTCGGGCAGGCACCTGTGGCCGCGATGGGTCTGGCCCCAGAATTCAGCGAATCGCCCGGCAGTTTCTTCGGGGTCGGAGTGCTCAGAGCTCCGGGGGTCGGCGACGCCGGCAAGACGGATGGTCCTGCATCCAGACGCCCAAGCTGAACAATACTGATAACGCTGACGCTGTCGGCTGAGGCGTTTAGCTGTGGCGGGGGGGGGGGGGCCTGGTCTTGCTCTAGTTCACGAAGCTCGCGCTGAGGGTTGGGGGTCTGCAGGGGACCAGCGTGCCCATGGAAACCCACTCGGTCGATCTAGATCAAATTCGGGAGGTCCAGGAACTGCTTCAGGAAAGGACAAGGCCTTGTAGCCCTGGAAGCCGGAACGTGGTTGGAACGCCGCGCAGCGCGCATAATGGCAAGGCGCCAGGCGAACTTCTCGGAGACAGTGTGGGCACCTCTGGTTCCCAGCTTACCTAGGAGGGTCCTTGAGGCGCATCTCAGGACATCTTGGGTTTGGGAAAGTCGACCCAGGGAACGTCGATTAGCGGGCCAGCTTCCAGGGACGCTTGATCGTAAACTTCGAATTTCAAGATGTTTGGGGACCCATCTCGGAGGGCGGTAAACATAATCTGAGCAGACTACTCGGAATGTGGTCAGACATGTCCGCTCGGTCCACGACGCTGCCAATCGTCATGGTAGCGGGTTGCATGTCTAGCAGCTCCGCGGTGAACATGCTGCACGGGATGCGGTCCAGCCGCGGGACAGACCAACTCGCATCGTCGTAGGCAACGAGGTGCGAGGGCACATCTTGCATGAGCTCTGCGCGCGAGGAAAATCGCCTGGCAGCGCGTCTGGCAATGTCGGGCCTGGCAGGAACGAAGCGGCCAGAAGTGCGCTGGGGCCCCGCCCCTTTCACGGCAAAAAACTCAAATCACCCGCCACGAAACTGGCAACTTTAAAGCCTGGGAATGGAGCCGGGGCCACGGTGCCCAGGAATACTTCTGGGGCAGGAACAGGAATAGTAGGCTTGTTGTGAATGTTCGTGATCTGGAGGGTCCTGGAGGCATTCGGGGAGGGGGGGCCTGGGGGGCTTGTAATCCTGGCTCCTGACAGAAGAACATGATGGGCTCGCCCTCGGCGAACGACGCGATGTTGTGTGTATTGAAACTTCGAACAGACAGACTCGCTAATAAAGGCAATGCAACCGCCCGCATCGCGCTCTTGACAAAAAGTGCCGTAGCCGCGCACGCCGTGCACTTCGAGGAGGAGAAATTCGAGTTTCGTCTGGGACCCCCTGGTTTCTTGGAGGCAAATCACCTGATGCTGGGGAACGAGACGTCTCGCGAATTCGATTTTCTTCTTGCACAAGTCGTGCTTCGACCAAAGCGAGTTGAACATGCGGCGGACGCTCCAGGAAACAATGGGAAACTTATGAGGAAACTCGAAAGGAACGATATCATCGGGGTCGGGGAGGTCGTCGGGGACGGGGAAATCCTCCGGGCCCAGGTACGAAGTCGACGACAAACTAGAAGAGGAAGCAGAAGAGGTGGAGGAAGAGCGACAGCTGGAAGAAGAAGCAGGTGAGGGAGCATGCCCACATGCCTGCACATGCGAAACCTAGAAAAAGCTTTAGGGATATTAGAAACAACATTCGAGATATCCCTTCCCACTTGTGCCTGTTTGCACTTGGGTGTCTCCTATGGCAGGGAGCTGGCGACGATCTTGTCGGCGGCGGCGCGGTCGATCCCGAACTGGGCGAGGCTGTCGTACTTCAGCTCGACTGCGTAGGAGTCGTCGGCAACCTCGACGAGGGGCGCAAGGACCTCGACGTCGTCCGAGCCGCAGAGGAGAAACAAGAGACCGCGCGGGCCGTTGCCGCCGAGGCAGTAGTCCTGCTTCCATGTGCCGTTCTCTTTCATGTGCGTGACGAAAGCCTGCCACAGGCGACCGAGGACCTTGTGGCGATTGCGGATCTGCTGGCTGGCGTCGAGGCGGCAACGCAGGTTCATGGCCATGTTGGTGCGCGGGTCAGTCCACGAGATGCCGCCATTCTTGAAGGAGTCGAGTACCACACTGGCGATGTCGACTGGAGCGAAGTTGATGGTGTAGCTCATCTGCATGTTTTTGGCCGTGACGATCGCTTCTTGTTTTTGGTGGGCAGGAAGCGCTTAGAGTACACCGTCAGCGTGGGTTTGGAGCACACGAGCAAGAACACGACGAGGAAAACCACACATCCATATCTTGCACTGTCTGCGTCGCTATTGGGAGCCATCGGGCTCGGAAGGTCGCCCAACACGCGTCTCTTCTGGCTTCCACCTAAAGAACTAAAAATGCTCGGGCTGTATGTCGTACTGCGCGAGGAACGGATCGAGGCGGCGGCCGTTTCGCACGCGACGGGCCTGCTCTCGAGCTTGGTGAGGATGGATGCCTCGACGGCCGCGGCGATTCTCTCACATGTGCCATTCTGGCTGCTGGCGATCTGCGTCTCCATGGCCGAGAATTTGGCGTCGTGTGCGGCGACCTGGCCCCTTGAGGCTGGTGATGTCCGGCTTCGTGACGGCATTCGCAAGCGCGGTGTTCATGTTTTGCAGTACTGTCATGATGTCGCTGGGAAAGCTGCCAATCTGCGATGTGGCGGGGGTCGGTGGGACAGGCGAAGCTGGCGAGGAGTTGATGGTCGGCACAACCTTCACCTTGGCGTCGGCAGACTCGTCGTTGATGTCGGAGATCGCGTCGGAACCCTCGTCTGCCATGCCGCAAGGAATCTGGGGAGGGCTCGGAGTGGCCTAGGCCATAAGGGAGCTTGTGGATGGATGCCGAAACGATTGCCCCCCTGAGGGCCTGAGAACTCTTGAAAAAGGCCAGCGGAAGGGCCGAAAGCTAATCGCTGGTTCTCGGGCGTTATAGCCCTTCACAACGTTTAGCCTTGAGCAAAATGGCTATGGAAGGAGGAGGCGGAGGAGGAGGAGGAGGAGGAGGAGGAGGAAGAGGAGGAGGAGGAGGAGGAGGAGGAGGAGGAGGGGGAGGGCGAGGAGGAACGCACGGGCGAGGACGAGGCAAAGACGAGGGGGGGGCGAGGAGGAGGGCAAGGGCGAGGACGAGGCAAAAACGAAGGGGGGGGGGGGGGCAATCGACACATGGCCCGGAAGGCGGTGCGAGGCCCTCCAGGCCAACATGGCGAGTGAGCGGGCCCGTCTGCGCACCTGGGATCGTTCCTCTCGGCGCCATGCCTGGCGAGAAAGGAAGCCGAGCGAAAGGAGATCCCCCCCCGCCACGCGGCGTTCCTCGATGTGCTCGGCGAAGCGGCACACCAGAGCGAGCGCATTGAAGATGCCCTCATTGAGCGTGCCCTTGCAGAGCAGGCGACCCGTTCGTGAGAGGATAGGGGGAGTGCGTCGGAGAGATAAGGTTATGTTGCTCCCATCGCGCTTCAGGACCACATCCCAGACATAATTTCGAGCAACCGGAGAAGTGTCGACAGAGTGTCGAGAGAGTGTCGAAACAATGTCGGCCGAGTGCCTCCCAGTGCCCGACACGTGAAAACCCTCGAGTTCCGGTACTTTTTTGGTGCTCGAAATTCTGTATGGTGATCAAGGCGAATGTAGGTGGTTGGAACATCATAAAGGTATGAAGGGAGATAGATAAGGGGGGAGAGAGAGAGAGAGAGTGAGAGACGCATCAATATACGAATATACGCATGGGATGTGGGAAAACCATGGGTACACTTTTTGAGATCTATGCATCGGTGGATCCACGAACACTCAAGGCACAACTTACGTCGATACCAGTACTCGTGCGAGATCCGCCAGCTCATTTGGCTACGTGCGCAGAGCAGTAATCCAATATCAGATGAGATACGGTTTTGCTGCCCGTGCTGTCCCTCAGCTCGTCTTTCCTGTCTCACCAAGTATTGTTCACTTCTACTGCCTACACGGGGCGTCCGCGGCATCAACACGAACGTGGCGCTCTCACTCCAGAACACGCAGCATACACGTATAGCACAGCGCAAGAAACCACACAGTCAAGGGTTACGATGCAAGGCAACACGTAATGCATCTTTACATAGTGCAGCATAGCAGCGCGTATCAGATGACGGTATAGCAGCAGGGTGTATCACTGGTCGTCATGACTCGGGACAAAGTATCAGATCTTGCACTTTTGCTGTTGAAAGCCTCCGTCCAAAACAAGTGCGGCATTCGCACCTGTGCCACCTGTTGAGTCTCGCATGAATCCAAATGGCCAACTCCATACGTACATCCTGGATTCAAACATGTTGATGCATCACGCTTACTTGGTGAAACCAAAAGATACCGATACCGCTGACCCCCAGTCCTCTCCCAGGGTGCGTTTTGACCAGAATCGATGAGAATCGAACGGTGGCGACGAGGGCCTCTGAGGAGGCCCACTAAGAGGAAAACGGGCGGAGGGTAGCGATATGGGTGCCTCTTCCTTCTCTGATCCTGGATTCAAACATGTCGATGCCTCACGCGTACCTCCGCCGCCTTCGGCGGCCCTTCTGCCCGCGCAGCCGCCCCCGTCGTAAGCGAGGCGCAGCTGCTGGAAGACATCTCGAGGCCCGAGGACCAGCGAGAACGTACGAGAGCCGAGAACCTCGAGCCCGAGAAAGTAGCCCCCTAACATCTGCCTTAAATCCTTATCGGGGATGGACCGATTCCCCTTTTTTGAAACGTGAATCAGTGAGACCTCGGGCCAAAACTTGGCGGGCGCAAGCCTGGAAAATGAGTGGCCGCGGCGCCCTCTCGAGAACCGAAAACGGACAACTCCCTTATCGACGTGTCAGGGTGGGGCTTCTGTCCACCCCCGAGAAACGCCATAAACGCAAACTGTTGGCGTTCCGCGCGCATTCTCTTGGATTTGCGCTGGGCCTCCCTCCCTGGCGCGCGGAGCGCGCCAGGGGCGGCGCCAGAGGCGCCGCCAAGGGGGCCCAGCGCGGATCCAAGAAATCCGCGCGGAGCGCCCCTAACTCATGTTTATCCGAGGAGCGCCCAGCAGCCCAACATACGCCAGAGCCTTCACGCCCGCACCTGGCTCTATTGAGACAGGCTGCGGTCCTTGGTGTTCAGCACCATCACCGACGACATCAGCGCACACAGCGTCATCAGCTGTGCGTCGCGGGTGCGGTCGCTCTCGGTGCTGCCGAAGCCCTCGCAGTCCATGAAGACCAGCAGGGGGCTCTGGTCGTCCTCGCGGCTACCAGAAAGGGAGCTTCTCGCTCGAGCACACCGAGGGGTGGTGCGGATAAGATAGCTAACGTTTTCTGATCCGGCGTTTCGACATTGGGCGGAAGGGGGGGGAGGGGGGGGTCTGGCTCCGGACCTCTGCTTAGTACGACTGTTTGGAGCAGTGCGTACTGTCGGGGAGACTCCACCTGCCTGAAACAGGAAGCAAAAACAGCCAAGATCCACTCCATGGGGGGGGGAGGGGGGGTACGAGGGCCCACGCCGATCGGCAAAACAACGAATCAGAAAACGATCACATATGTTGTGTGTGTACTCCGAGCTTCTCCAAGAAGGGCCCCACCATCTCCTCGAACTCACAGGCAGTCCCCGAGCAATTTCAGACGGTCGAGAACGTGTTTCTTGGCTGCACACGCCTTTTCCAAATGACATGTGCGTGCGCGTGGCGTGTGTTTGTGAGTGAACGCCGAATGGGGAAGTGAACGAATGGGGAAGAGAACGGGTAAGACACGAAAGTAGGGAAAAGGGGATAGGATGGGAGGGGTAAGACAAGGGACATATTCTGGGAAGAAAATCGGGTGGGATGGAAACGACAACGACTGGATCGTAGAAGAACCATCCCCAAGTAACCCGACACCAACTTCAAATGCGATGTCGCCGAGTGGCTTGACACCACAACCAAATGACAAACTACTCGTTCATGGAATTGTAGGCCTCGAAAGGTCACGGGTGGGCAGCCCCGAACTAGCAACCTTCTTGTCACGGCATGGACACCCGAGATCTCGACCCCTTCTCTCGAACGTGTTCTTCATCCCGAACCGTTGTTTGACGACCCTGGGGCCTAGCAAGGGCCCTCGGGGACCGAAGTGGGCCCACAACCATCCGTCGCGATGTTTACCATGACGCGACGGGTCTGAAACTCAATGCCCCGTCCCTTCGGTGGCAACTCATGGGAGCCTCCCATACCATGGTGCTGGCTCTTGCGAATCGACGCTGGCCGACGCTAATCGACGCTACATTGACGCCAGTCGACGCCAACTCGGCGCTCTCTCATCGACTGCCGGACTCTAGCGCAAGCTGGCGAGCTCTAAACGTGGAAGTCCGAGGTCAGACAATCAGGCTGTTGGAATCAGAAACGCTAAATCTGCCGACCCTGCCGGCGTGACGCGAGACGCTGTTCCGTTTGACTCGTCGTCGTCGTCGTCGCCGCCGCCGCCGCCGCCGCCGCCGCTCCCCCTGTCCTTGGGCAGAGCGCCGCTCCCCCTGCCCTTCCCGTGGGCCCTCCTCCCCAAAGCGCGGCAAGCACAGCGAAATGCAACAGCGTCGCAGGCTGCCTCGAAGGAGACGCCCCTTCCTTTTGATCCCCTTCCCGCTGGAGGGGGGGGTCCCAGGGGGGAGGGTCCCCCCGAGAGGCCGAGAGTGAAGGGGCTCACAAGCACACAAATTACCCCAGTGCGACCCTACCTAGAAATTGGAGCCCCTAGGAAAGCAGCATTAGTTGCTATGCTATGCTATGCTATGCTATGCTATGCCATGCTATGCTGCGCTATGCCATGCTATGCTGTGCTATGCTATGCTGCGCTATGCTATGATATGAAATATAATGATGTTATGTGCTATGTTATGCTATGCTATGCTATGCTAAATTGCGCTATGCTATGATATGCTATGATATGATATGCTATGCTGCGCTATGCTATGATATGATGTGCCATGCTTGGCTATGCTATGCTATGCTATGCTGCGCTATGCTCATGCAGCGCTGCGCTATGCTCATGCTAAGCTAAGCTAAGGTAAGCTAAGCGAACCCTCTAGGCAAAGCCTAGGTAGGGAATTACACCCGTGCTAATGCTCTGGTTTGCTTTGCGTTGCTTGTGCTTTGCTTTGCTGTCGCTGCTGTTGCGTTGCCTTTGCTTTGTTGCTATGCTATGCGATGCTCTGCTATGATATGCTATGCTAGTATGCGCTGTGCTATGCTGTGCTGTGCTGCGCTATGCTATGCTATGCTATGCTGTGCTGCGCTATGCTATGCTATGCTGGGCTATGCTATGATATGCTGTGCTGCGCTATGCTATGTTATGCTGTGCTCTGCTATGCTAAAGCTCAGCGAAGCTAAGATGAAGGTACGCTGGGCTAAGATAAACCTTAGCTAAGATGAAGCTAAGATAAGCTGAGAAGAAATAAGCTAAGCTAAGATGAGACAAGCGACGCTAAGCTAAGGGGACGTAACTGGGGGAACCGCGGGGCGGATACTGGGGGAACCGCCCGGGGCGCTTTCCACTGCCCGGCCCCTTTCAGCCCAGAGAGTAACCACCCTTCTAGGCAGAGCCTAGGTAGGGAATAAATACACACAAATAAAAAGATCCCCAACATTTTCCATTATCTTCTGGGTTTCGTCTTCCCCACCACTTCCTATATTATCCCATATTTTCCTGGGAGTGGACGAATCATTGTGTCTGTGTGTGTGTTTCTCCTCCCGAGAAAGGTGTGGGGGAACACAAAGGTCCTGCGACGGCCCCAGAGTCCCCAAAGGGGCCCCCCGGACACTCCAAGAGAGCCCCGAAACGCCAAACGGCCGGTCCAAGACGCAAAAGGCGGCCTCCTGACGGCCCACGAGGCTTCCGAGACGCTCGAAGAGGCCTCCAAGAGCACTCAAAGGGGGCCCCAACAGGCACAATCTAATGATTCCCCGTATGGTCTTGAAAAAATGTTGGCCGCCTCCTCGCATTGTCGGCTTCCCGAGGCTCCAAGACAGCCCAAGATGCCGCCGAGAGCGTTCCAGGAGGCTCTCAGGCAGCCTCGAAGGCGGCCTCAAAACGACCCGAGGGGGCCAAGACGGCTCAAAGAGGACCCCAAGACGGCTCCAAGAGGGTGCCCAAACGGGGGTCCCGAACACACACTTCGAGCCCTCGGCCCCGCGAAACTCCCAGGAGGCCCCCAGGAGGCCCCCAGAGGGCCCCCGAGAGGCCAGCAGGCGGCCCCAAGAAACCCCCAAACCGCCCCCCAGACGTCTTCGAGAGCGCCTCGAAAAGGCCCCACGACGCACTCCCGAGGACCCCGACCCCCGTCAGTGTCTTCGCCGCTGCAGCCGCCGCCGCCGCAGCCGCCGCCGCCGCCGCCGACGCCGATGCCACCACCGCCGCCACCGCCGCCGCCGCCGCCGCCGCCGCCGCCGCCGCCGCCGTCGTCGTCGTCGTCGTCGTCGTCGTCGTCGTCGTCGTCGTCGTCGTCGTCGTCGTCGTCGTCGTCGTCGTCGTCCCCCTTCAGGGTCGGCGGCACCAGCAGTAAGGACTTCGCAATGAGGAACGAAGTCACGTTTTGGCCCCAGAAGCGCTCCCTCCCCTCCCTGCTTCTCCTTTCGATCCGTCCTGCTTCGTTTCGCCCTCTCTCATTCCGCCCTCTCGCAGCACCCGGCCGGATTGAGAGCGGACGAACCGACGCGGCCGCATCGAGAGCGGACGAGTCGAAGCGGACGACATGACATTCGGGCAGAATGGAGCGGAACGGGAGAGGACAAAACGGAAGACATTCAGCTCCTCTCCCGCGCGCGCGAGACGGGGGTCCAAGACTGGGGCGGGGAACCGCTTGGGAAGACAGTCGGCTCCCCCCCGCGCGCGCGAGGCAGCTCCTTATGGGGTCACGAGACGTATGAGGGATGCGCCGAAATTGGAAGTGGAACCGCATACGGGCGCTGCCCCTAGGACCTTATGTGGAGGTCCCAATGGGGCCATGAAACGTGTGAGGGTTGCACCGACATGACGGTGGAACTGCATGCGGGTGCTGCCACTGGGGCCACCGGTGGAGCACCAGATGGGACCACGAGACGTGTGAGGGGTGTGCCGAATAGGAGGGTGGAGCTGCATGCGGGCGCTGCCACTGGGGCCTCCGGTGGAACTCCCTATAGGGCCACGAACCGTTTGAGGGGTTCGCCGACATTGAAGGTGGAACCGCATGCGGGCGCTGCCACTGGGGCCTTCGGTGGAACAAACGTGTAAGGGGTGTGCCGAAACAGTGATACGCGGAGGGTAAAGGCAGGGGTAGGATCTTGGGGAGGGAGAGAGGAGGGGGCAGCGGGAGGATGAGAAGGAAGGCGAAGGCGTGGCGCTGTCTCTTCAAAGCGAGGACCCCACAACACAAGATGGTTAGGAAAAACAGGAATAGCGGCATCGGTACCTTTCCCTCCTCTGAGTCCTCCGCCCGCCCTGGTGATCAAACATCGATCACCAGGACTGCTCTGGGGTGCGTTGTGGCACGAATTTCAAGGCGAATCCAGCCGTGGCGACGAGGAGCCCGCTGGAGCCCCAAAAAGGTGGAATAGAGGAACAAACAATGACATAAACATGAACTTTCGGAGGTCCGCGCAGATTTCTAGGATCGGCGCTGGACCCGCCAACCCTGGCGCGCTCCGCGCGCCAAGGACCGCGCCGGAGGCGCAACCAGGGGGCTCCAGCGACGGTCCGAGAAACCCGCGCTCGGCCCCGAAAGCTCATGTTCATGGCACTGTTCGTTCCCCATTCGTGGGCCACCGCTCCAGCATCACTGCAATACCACAGGCAGGACGGGGGAGGCGGAAGGACGGGGAGGTCCTCCTCCTCCTCCTCCTCCTCCTCCTGCCTTTGGTGGTGGTGATGAAGAGTCGGCGCCCGCGGCGCGAACCTCCAGCTCCCCGCGACCTGAGGTGGGCGTCGGTGGAGGCCCCCCGACCCGCGCATCCTCGGAGTCGGCGCTGCCCCACAGCCAGAGCCCCTCCGTGCAGGCGCGGGTGGTGCTGCCCACCTCGGGGGCGCAGCGGGGGGGGGGGCCCGAGCCTCGCGCCTCCCGTCTTCGAGCCTCGCGCCTCGGTCCTCGAGGCCTCCCGTTCTCCAGCCTCGGGCCTCGAGCTTCCTGCCCTCGACCCCCGAGGTGGGGGCATGGCAGCTTCGCGTCCACTGCCACCTCTCGACTTCTCGAACGTGCCTGTCTGGGTAGTCGAAGCCAATCTGGCGCCAATCTGGCAGGCCCAATCTGGCAAACGGGGGCAATCTGGCGAGGGGGCCAACGCGAATCCAGTCTGGCGAATAACCCAGATCATCCAGTTTGGCCGGGCCAGATTGGCCCTTGGGGCCCAATCCAATCTGACAGTCTGGCCTTCGACTACCCAGACAGGGGGGACGAGCACCAGAGCAGGAGGGGGCGGGAGGTGGCCTAGTGAGAGGCCAGGATGCAGACTGCGGGCGGGCCAGGACACTGTGCCCACTCCCCAGCTCCTCCTCCTCCTCCTCCTCCTGCTTCTCCTCCTCCTCCTCCTCTTCTTGTTCCTCCTCTTCTTGCTCCTCCTCATCTTCTTGCTCCTCCTCCTCCTCCTCTTCCTCTTCCTCCTCCTCCTCCTCCTTCTCTTCCTCCTCCTCCTCATCCTCATCATCATCATCACCACCACCACCAGCAGCAGCAGCAGCATTATCATCACAATCATCATCATCACCACCACCACCACCACCAGCATCACCACCACCACCACCATCATCATCATCATCAGCAGCATCAGCATCAGCATTGGCATCATCATCATCATCACCATCATCACCATCATCAGCATCATTGCCATCATCATCATCATCATCAGCATCAGCATCATCATCATCATCATCATCATCATCATCATCATCATCGCAACCATCATCGCAATCATAACCATCATCATCACCAAGATTAGCAGCAGTATCAGCATCATCATGATCGTCATCATCACCATCACCATCATCAGCATCATCAAAATCACCATCATCAGCATCATCATCAACACGGCCGTAGCCATGATCATCATCATCAGCAACATCCGTCTCATCAGTTGCATCATCATCATCATCATCAACAGCAGTATCGTCATCATCATCATCATCATCATCATCATCATCATCATCATCATCACTATCATCGTCGACATCCACCTCTCCCTCCCCCTCCCCCTCCTCCTTTTCCTCCTCCTCCTCCTCCTCCTCCTCCTCCTCCTCTCTCCACCACCCGCCCAATGTCCCGAGCCTGTGGCAGGGTCATCAACTCGTCGTTGTCGTCGTGGCCGTGGTCGTCGTCGTGGCCGTGGTCGTCGTCGTCGTCCTTCTGGGTCAGCGGCACCGGCTCTAAGGCCGCCACAATGGTTTGGTGAGTGCTGCTTGGTAGCAACGAAAGAAAGTTCAAGATGCCGGGCTCACCAGCGGGGAGGAATGAGCAAGCCACACAGCGGGAGACTTGAGGATGGGGACCACCATGCGCAGAATTTGCCCCAAACAGTCAAGGGGCTCTTACTTTGATTCTGAGCGTGGGTGTGCCGAGGATTCGCCACACGTGCGCCCGTGCCCGCTGGTGGGCGCCCCTGGGTGCTGGGCGGGTGTCCCGAAGAGTTGCCACGTTTGCCGCCCCGCACGCTCGGTGTTCCGAGCATTCCCTGCGACGGCGCCCGTGCCCGCTCATCGGCGCTTCGTGGGCGCCCGCATAGCTCACACATCTCAGTTGCACTGCACCGCACAACTCACGCCACAAACCTCACACCACATAGCTCACACCGCAAAGCTCACACCACACTGCGTACACCGTGTAGCTCACCCAGCCTATCAGACACACCATCGCTAACGAACAACCCTTGTCAGATTGTCATACATAGCTCACACCGCGCAACTCACACCGCACGATTTTCGCCTGCACGGTGCAATAACGCACCGTTTAGGGTCCACTCTGGCTAGCATGCTCGAATGACCGACCGCATGCGGGGGACAACCGTGTGTGATGTTCGGGAGCGGCCAAGAGGGGGGTGTCCAAGAGGGGGGGGGGCAAATCATGACCGGCGGCATGTGCGCGGCCCAGCGGGGGGGCCAGGGACGCAATGAAACAAGAAGTGGCGCCATAGAATCTGGGGAAATATCCTGGCCCCCGCCATGAGATCCACCCCCCCCTAGTCCTCACCCCTCTCTTTTCCGCCCCCGAGGAGGAGGAGGAGGAGGAGGAGGAGGAGGAGGAGGAGGAGGAGGAGGAGGAGAGGAGGAGGAGGAGGAGGAGGAGGAGGAGGAGGAGGAGGAGGAGGAGGAGAAGGAGGAGGAGGAGGGTCCGAGCAGATCGCGGCCCTCCGGGAGCCCTGGCCGCGACCATGGCCACTGGCCGCAGGCACCTGCGCCGGGGCCTCGAGTCCTCGGCGTCACGTCGGCGCTGCTCGGCGGGGCGCGGGAAGGGACACACGAGGGCCCGGGGCCCCGCGGAGGGCCCCGGATCTGGCCAAAACAGGCACGCTCTCCCGACACGCCATCCACTGAAGGGGCCCTCGGACACACAAAGAAATACACACCAATGAACATGTTCACCTTATTTTCCCATCTGTTCTGGGCTTCTGTCTTCCCGCCCACTTCCCAGATTCTCCCATATTTTCTTGGAAATCGACGATTAATTGTCTCTGTGTGTTTTTTCCCCTCCTGATCCACGGCACCACCTGTTTGCTTCCAGATCGAAGTTCTGGCCAACGCCCACGCGGCCGCGCCTTTTGTGCCGTAGCGCTGCCACCTCGCGGCGGCCACACGCCCGTGTTGACGGGCATGTGTTGCGAGGCGGGGATCTATCCACATCCACCGCCTGTGAACCGACGTCCTGGTGGCCCAGGGGGCGGTGGATATGGGTATATTTGGGCCCCCGGGGGCCCGACTATGTCCACATCCACAGCCTGCCGGGGCCCCCGAAGCTTGATCCTCCAGGCGGTGGTCATGTCTAGACCCCCGCCTCGGAATGCTGTGCGACCCACCTCGGGAGCCCTCGGGGGGAGCCCCCGGGAGCCCCGCAGGGCAGGCGGGACCCGTGTTGGCCCCGGGCACCCGACGGGGCCGTGCGGCCCCGTGCTGGCCAGAGCCCCTGCGATGCGAGCAGCCACGGACGGCTCACGCGGCGGCGAGGCCCCCGCCGCAGGGCCGCGGTGCGCCGAGCCTCGCCGAGGAGGCCCCGCGGCAGGACGTGGGCCGCGGGCAGCGCGGCGCGGGGCCGCTCGCCGGGGCCGAGCCGCGGGCCCGGTCGGCGAAGGCCACGAGGGCGCAACCGAGGCGTGCAGTCGTCGTGCCAGCTGCCACACAGGGACCGCCGAGAGCAAGAAACAAGCGAAGACTGAGCATGTTCTGAGGGTGGAGGGCTCAGGGCGAGATCGATGTGGGCACGTGCACCTCGAAGATGAAGCCGTCTTGTGATTAACCTTTTGCAGATTCGAGCCTCGAGCATCCGTCGAAACGGTATTTCAGATTTCACCCAAAGAGGGGGAGGGGGAGGAGGAGGAGGAGGAGGA